TTAGCTGAGTGTTTTTGTGTCGCTTGCATCGGGGGCCTCCTGCCTTTCTCCCTTTTGCTTCTTTGTTCACCGCCTGGTGTCTGCATCTGGGGCGCCGCTGTCTTGGCTTCCAACTTAGTCCAGAAGGCGTTGAAGTGTGCTTCCAGTCTCTGTAGGAAAATCTCAATGTAGTCGCTTGGGTCTCGTTGTGGCCGCTGTTGCATACGCCCTTGTAGTTGGCGGCTGTCAGCCATCTTGTGGTCTGCCTTTTGGTCTCGATAGCAGGCAGGCAGCTCCACATTAACGCTGGTGTAAGTGTGGGACTGGGATAACCCCCTCCGGTCCAAAGGGGGGGGGATCGAGTCAACAGGGCCATTTTGCATAGGCAACTGGAGAGCGTCCGTCTCTCCCGCCTGGAAACCTCACTAGGGGGTCTGTGTAAGTATGTCTGTCAGTGAGTATATGTTAGTGAGTGTTTGTGTCTGTCAGTGATTGTGTTTCAAATCAGTGAGATTTTGTTTCATCAGTGTGCCTCTCTCATTGAGAGTGTGTGACTGTCAGTGAGTCTGTGGCCAGTGCCGGACTGGCCCACCGGGATACCGGGAAATTTCCCGGTGGGCCGCGGCACCTGGGGCTGGGTTGACAGCCCTATTCATCACTGGCCAGGCTCCTGTAATCCAGATTGAAAAAAATAATAATAAGTTTATGGCGGGGCAGAGCTTACCAGACGGTGGGGGCGCAGCTAAGCGGCAGGCAGGGCGGAGGTTACTGTGCGGCAGGGCCCTGGTAATTGCAGCATGGGAAGCAGGAAGGAGTCCCTGCTTCCCCAACAACCAGTCTCCAGGAGCTCCGAGCAGGAGGTAAGAAGCAGGTCAGTGTGTATGTGTGTGACTGCCTGTGTGTGTGTGACTGTCTGCCTGTGAGTGTGTGACTGTTTGCCTGTGTGTGTGACTGTCTGTCTGTGTGTGTGAGTGTGTGGCTGTCTGCCTGTGTGTTTGACTATCTGCCTGTGTGTGTGTGTGTGTGACTGTCTGCCTGTGTGTGTGGCTGTCTGTGTGTGTGGCTTTCTGTGTGTGTGTGGCTGTTTGTGTTTGGCTGTCTGCTTGCCTCTGTGTATGTGGATGCCTGCCTTTGTGTGTGTGGATGTCTGCCTCTGTGTGTGTGTGCATTTGCGAGTGAGTGAGCTTCTGTGTGTGTGTGTGCACGCGCGCATCTGCTAGTGAGTGAGCTTCTGTGTGTGTGTGCATCTGCTAGTGAGGGAGCTTGTGTATGTGTGCGTCTGCTAGTGAGTTTGTGTTTGTGTGTGCCTGCTAGTGAGTGAGCTTGTATGTGTGTCAGTGAGCTTGTCTGTAGGGATCATGTGTGTTAGTGAGCTTGTCTGTAGGGAGCATGGGTGTGTCTGAGCCTGTCTGTGCGGAGCATGTGTGTGCAGAGCCAGCCTATGGAGTGTGCGAGCTGTGCAGCCGCACAGGGTGCCATGGCACAAGGGGCTCTGGGGCAGCTGACACAGCTCGCAGTCAATCACAAAGAGGCCAGCCCAAATTATGAGGGGAACGGCGAGCGGTGGCCAGGATCTGTTGCAGAATGAAGAGGTCTGGAGCGTGGAGGAGGAGGAGCGTGGGGCGCAGCGTCCATGTGCTCCGCCTTCATAGGGAGCCGCGGCAGGATCCACTTGGTGCGTGTGAGGTCGGCAGCCGAAGCTCTTAATTCAGCGATGCGGCGGAGTGGGAAGCTCAATCCAGGGAGCAGCAGCCATTAAAGTGAGTCCTAGTTCTTATTGCTTTTCTTTTTACTAAATATATTGCCTTTTATTGAAGGGGTGCAGGGTTGTTGGTGAAGGGGGTAGGAGATTGATGGTGGCAGGGTCTGATAAAGGGGGGCAGGGGATTGATGATAGGGGGCAAGAATTGATGGAAGGGGGGCAGGCTTAAATTAAGTCGGCAGGGTCTGATGAAGGGGATTGATGATGGGGCAGGGGACTAGTGAAGGGGCAGAGGATTGGTGAATGGGGCAGGGAATTGGTGAAGGAGGGCAGGGATGATGAAGGAGGGCAGGGGTTGGTGAAGGGGGGCAGGGACTGGTGGGGGCAGGGAACTGGTGAAGGAGGGGATGAGGGGTGCAGAGGATTGGTAAATGGGGTGCAGGGGACTGGTAAGGGGGTCCAGGGGATTGATGAAGGGGGCAGGGGATTGATGAAGGGTGTCAAGGTCTGATGAAGGGGTGCAGAGGATTGATGAAGGGGGTCAGGGCATTGATAAAGGGATTGCCATGTGTTTTGGTGAAGATGGCAGGGGTTAAGTGAATGGGGGCCGGGGTTTTGGTGAAGGGGGGGCAAGGTTTGTAGAAGGGGGTGGAGGCGGCAGACTGTGTGCCTGAAATTGTCTAGCGGGGGCCAAAGAGGTGGGGTGAAGAAATGAGGGAGAGGGTATACACGATTTAACACTTAAATGGCAGAGAAGTGAGCAGGGACACGCTCTATACACCTAAACTGCTTCATTAAGATAATGTTGTTTTGATGACTATAGTGTCCCCTTAATGTACATTATTGTTACCTGCCTATCCAGTTATTTATTATTGTAATTGTTTGCACTTGCACTTAAACTATCTGTAATTAAAACAAATTATTTCATACAAAGGTTTTTTTCCTCTTTGTGTATGTCTAGGTGACCGGGGGAAGGAGAGGGGGGGAGGGCACCACAAGATTGGCTCGCTCAGGGTGCCTAAACACCTAAGGCCGGCCCTGTGTGTGTGCAGTGAACTTGTCTGTAGTAAGCATGTGTGTGATCGTGAGCTTGTTTGTAGTGACCATATATGTCAGTGAGCTTGTCTGTAGTGACCATATGTGTCAGTGAGCTTGTCTGTAGTGAGCATGTGTGTGTCAGTGAGCTTGTCTGTAGTGAATCTGTGTGTTAGTGAGCTCTTCTGTAGGGAGCATGTGTGTGTCAATGGACTTGTCTGTAGGGAGAGTGTGTGCGCATCAGTGAGCTTGTCTGTAGTAAACTTGTGTGTATATCAGTTTGTCTGTACTAAATTTGTGTGTGTACCAGTAACCTTATCTGTGTGTCATTGAGATTGTCTGTCAATGAGCCTATTTGTGTGCATCAGTAAGATTGTCTGCATGTGAGTATGCTTTACTTTATGATTTAATTACCCTGAAAGGACTAATATTTTGAATTAGAAAAAGAAATATACCATTAATATATATATATATTTATATATATAGACAGAGAGAGAGAGAGAGATATGTGTGTGTGTGTGTGTGTGTGTATATATATAACACACACTACATAGCACAATGACTTATGGGGCTGGCATAGATTTTTTTCCAGGGCTGCTTCGTATCCCCAGTCCGGCCCTGTCTGTGGCTGATTAGAAAAATGGGTTGGGCTTATAGAAGGAGAGGTGAAATTGTTGGCATAGAAACATGCATGTCCGGACATTTTCAAAGTAGAGAAGATATTAGGATAGCCACGCCCACATGAGGGCACCAAAAAAATGTCTGGATCCAGGCGTCTGTGACCCTAGGATCGACCCTGCTGGCAACAAAGCAAGCGTTGTAAAACAGATGGTTTACCCTGCTTGAGGAAGTCTTCCCCAAGCAGAGCAAGTGAAAGAAGAGTGGAGTTGGAGTGCAGGCAGACCAGAGGTTGGTGTTACAAGAGTAACACTCATGAACCTCAGAAAAATACGAGACTGGAATGGAGGTGAGGTGAGTATATCTCGAAAATGTACATAATTTATGCCTGAGATATATCATTTATTCAATGTATTTGGAGACAATTTAAGGTAAGTAAAGCTCTTTTTTGACAAGTTCACTTTAAAGCTCATAGAGTCAATAAGATATTTGGCTGCAGAACTGCGGTCTGATAGGAAGTGCTGTGAGTGCACTTCCTGTCAGATGGGGTACTGGGCCCCTTTGTTTTGAATATTTTTATTGTGTGCATAATATAACGTCATACATCAAATTGATTTGTAATAAAGCAAGTGATTGCCCATGCAGGGGCTTAGGCATTGGTTTAACACTGCATATACATTTGGTTGCCTGCGCAGAGGCGGATTTGTCCTAGCCTGTGTTTTTTGTTCACAGTGGGTTGCTTTGTGTTGTACTGTGTTGCCTTTTTAGTTCGGTTATAGCATTAATTAAGTGTTTTAAGTTAACTGGTGTGTGCCAGAGCTACGTGTTTGCTAGTTGGTAAATGCAAATTCTCGCCTGTGCAGAGGCAAGTGAATCAGCTTGCTAATTGGAGTCAGACATTAAGCAATAATCTAAGATACAAAAACTTTTTCAACTATCTGGTTAGCGCTCTAAACGTACGGTACCGCTGTGTTTAAAACTTGGCTTTTAACTATTAAACATTAGTATGCACTTAGCTGATAGCCTTATTTGTGGTTAATATATTATGGCATATGTTTCTTGTCATTAATTAAGCGTTGATAGTTAGCGCGGTGTGAAGTAGCTATCAGCATTGCGACATTGCCCTATCAACTGCACATCAGGCATGCTGCGAAATACATGTACCAATGTTAAAGAGTGTATCCTATGTACAGCTGCTTATGCCCTTGGAAACATTAGCGTGGTTAGCTCTAATAACATGAATTTACACTTTTAACAGTCAGAGCGTTTGTGACTATGTTAAGGCACAGTAATATATAGTGCGGTAATCGAGCAATTAGGTAGGTAGTATTAAATAACCCTGACAGTATATACGCTGCTACACTGATTTCACAGAGTAGTTTTTCAGGCCTAGTAACATACAATGCAGTAATTAGGCAGGTAAATAGGCAGTATTGAAACATGTAAAACTTCTAGTAGCAATTAAAAATATATCATCATGCCCTTGCTGCTAGGTCAGATGCTCATCAATTTGTACTACCCTGCACAGTTTCAACTAGAGGGAATATGTATACAAACTCTTTAAGTGCGTTAGCATCGCCTAGTCTATTGAAGCTCTGACATGAGAGGAACATATGCTCATATACTAAAAAATTACTAATAAGGACTTAAACAATACAGGGGCACGGCTGTTCTGAATGACTACGCTTTTGGCTAAATGAGTCCTAGATGTTATCAAGTTAGGTTGGGCCATCCACTTTTGGGGCCCGTGGGCACCTCTGTGTCTGAGGGACCCTCTTGTGCCTCCACCCTGGGCAAACTCCGGTCCGTCAGTGGGTAGATCCGTGGCGCCGTGGGCACTCGGTTGCGTGGGCAGACTAGCAGATCCCCCCTACGTAGAATCCACCTGCCACCCGTCCCCTGCACCTCCCCGATTTCCCCGGAACCACCCCCGAGTCCCAGTCAGTCCATGCCTCGCCTGGCTCCGGTCTCATACTTGGTACCAGTGCGCGCCCCCCGGCCACCGGTTCACCGGAGGGTCCACGTCTACCGGTCCCACAGGGCTCACTGAGTCAGGGGCAAAGTCCTCTGAATCACCACCAAGTTCAAAGGGTCCGACCGGTTCCCTACCAGCACACCCGTCACCCGAGAGTGGGCATCTGTGGGTCCATCTCTGCAAAAGTCCGCGGTAACCCAACATGGTATGTGCCTTTGTTGGTGCTCAAGCCGCTCACCCGGTTTCCTGGGGGATATTAATGGTAGTAGCCTTTTATGCAGGATCCTCATCGGCAGCCTTCCAAATTGGGGCTTCGTGTGGGTTGTAGTGCCCCATCCAATAGTTGCTTGCGCCCCTTTATTCTGTATTAGGGTGCGTTCCTGGCGGCGTCCATATCTGCTAGCTGGCTGTTTTTTCCCTTTCAGCCGTTGCTAGTGTAGGCAGGCGGCATAGGCCGAGCGCGGGATCTCCCGCCACTGTGCGGACCGCCGCCATGATGCCGGGATAACCCCCACCGGTCTGGGGGGGGAGCGGGACCGTGCCCCGAGCCGGGGTATCATCCCACGACCAGAGGTTTAGTTCATGTGGTTTTTCCCGTTCCTGCAAAGTGCCTCTCCGCGGTGTCTGGGAGCACGAGGACAGGCTTGTGTCGGCTTGCAGGTCGAAGGTGGCTGTTTCCGCTCACCCGGTGCGTGTTGTGCCTCCTGCGGGGTATCGGGCTGAAGCTGGTAACCCTCTCCATGCAGCGGTAGCGACGGCTCCGGCATTGCAGCGGTCTATGTCGGCTTTTTGAGCCCTTTTCACGAGCCTAGAGCTGGAGCCCATGCATGTGGCGTCCAGTCGGCTCGGCGGCCCAGCCCCGCCCCCTACTGGGTCCCTTTGCATGAGGAAAGGGAAATGGGGAAAAGACACATGGCGGGGCAAGGAGGAGAGACACGGGGGGGAAGGGGATGAGACACATGTAAGGGAAGAATGAGATGGGCTAGGGGAATAAGACAATTTTCACACCAGGCCCAGTGTTTTCTACTCACACCTCTGCTCACAGACACTCAGTATTATAGCAGAATATTTACCCATCCAGTAAGCCTGTTTACACAACCCTACTATCTACTCCAAACCTAAAGGCTTTTAGTTTTAAATGGGAGTGCTACCTCAAGAGATGCTATTCCAGACAGAATGGGGCTGGATAGACTGTAAATGGATGGAGATTTGGACTGGCAGAGAATGATGTTGTGGACAGACAGAATGAGGAGTACAAAATATTAGGGAGACATAGGTTGGGAGAGATGAAGTAGAAAACACAATTGAGGGTTAAGAGAACCAAGTACGGTACTTAAAAAGGGAGAGAGATACTAGAGGGAAAATTGAAGGCACATCTAAAATATTTTGTACCAGAGGCTTTGGATCCCAGGACCTCAGGTGAGTTGTCAAAACATTTGCAAACGTTTTGACTACTTACACTTGACAGTCGCAAGGTCACTCCTGACACTATAACCACTCCATGCGCTGTAGTGCCTATGGTGCTTGGAGTTTTCCTTTTAATTACCTTTAGTTCTCATTATTTTTTTTAAATTATACAGTATATCAGTATGCACACCAAACCCAGTGAGAATATAAAAAATTGAATAATACCCCCATATAATGAAGTACAATAGGATGGTACCTAAAATATAAAAATAAAACACAACATAGTGTGAACTGTATATATAACAGAAAACTGTGAACAGACTTAGGACTACCACTCACATTTTCCAGAGCCATGCCAGGCTCTATACAGCGGGCTCAGGGGCGCCAATACAGGCTAACGATTCCACTGTCAGTAGTAGAAGATGATGATGGGACTTCAAATAGGTTAAAAAAGATTTATTGAAAATATAATATTAAACAGCTCAAGGTACTATGGGAACCCGGCATATAAATACAATATGGCAAAAAAAAGCTGGAGTTCCACTTACCACTATAATTAGTATGGTGAGTGGAATTCCAGCTTTTTTTGCCATATTGTTTTTAAATGCCGGGTGTTTTTGTGGAAGCACAACTATATCAGTCACACTGCCTGCTAGTTATTGTAGCTACGATAAGGGTTTTTGATTTAAATTGTGAAGCGCCTACACACTATCTGTTTATACTAATTTTTTTTTATTTTTTTTAAGGACGTCTACTAGTTGATCTTGATTTCAGATACATTTCAAATGCACCAGTTGAGTTCTTTAAAGAAAAGCAATCTTTAGTAATTAGAGGGACACTATTGTCACCTGAACAACTTTAGCTTAATGAAGCAGTTTTGGTGTATAGAACGTGCCACTGCAGCCTTACTGCTCAATCCTCTGCCATTTAGGAGTTAAATCCCTTTGTTTATGAACCCTAGTCACACCTCCCTGCATGTGACTTGCACAGCCTTCCATAAACACTTCCTGTAAAGAGAGCCCTATTTAGGCTTTCTTTATTGCAAGTTCTGTTTAATTAAGATTTTCTTATCCCCTGCTATGTTAATAGCTTGCTAGACCTTGCAAGAGCCTCCTGTATGTGATTAAAGTTCAATTTAGAGCTTGAGATACAATTATTTAAGATAAATTACATCTGTTTGAAAGTGAAACCAGTTTTTTTTTCATGCAGGCTCTGTCAATCATAGCCAGGGGAGGCGTGGCTAGGGCTGCATAAACAGAAACAAAATGATTTAACTCCTAAATGACAGTGAATTGAGCAGTGAAATTGCAGGGGAATCATCTATACACTAAAACTGCTTTATTTAGCTAAAGTAATTTAGGTGCCATAGTGCCATAGTGTTCCTTTAACCACTCAAAAACATTTGTTTTATTATTTTTTTTCTGTTTAATTTGTCATACCAACTGGGAATTCAAGAGGTCTACTATAATTCAAGTTGGGCACTGGTCCAAAACATTGAATAGCATGTTTTGCAATAATTGCACAATGTTGGTTGTGTTATATAAATATTTTTTCTAGCATAATCAATGTTTTGAATCACTGTTACTAATGGTAACTGATATTGTTTTTCTTTCTTACCCTTCCCCTTGGAGTGTTCCTATAAAGAAGGATCCAAATACTGTTTCTGATTTAAAGAAACAAGCCTAATTTTAATAATTTAAAGGAACAAACATGTTTTTTTCTTTTAAATAAACCATACCTATATTATTTACTAATTAATCATTACTCAGGCAAGCAACTCCCCTGTAAACTCTCTTTGACTTAAGTCAAAATTATAAGGAGATAGGCTCTTTAAATGGACACCATTGGCATTTTGACACCATTTCAAGACTAAGAGTTTTAACAAAAAATGAGGATCCCTGGCTACGCAAGCATGACCCCCACTGGCAGGGCTGGCTGTCCACGGGTCCCGGTGGAACCATGGCTCTAGGCGGCACTTTGACTGGAGTGGCACTTTTCGACACAGTGCTAGCCGCTGCAGTGAATCAGCCAGGCACTGTGCAGCTGAGACCCCTTCTCACAAGCTTACTGTATTTGCCTAGGAATGGGGGGCTAGTTATGAAGCAATAGTCAGTAAGGAAGGGGAAGTTTTGTCCCTTGCCACAACCCGCAGCAACCACTCATAAAGGTCTCTGTCACTGTGTAATACTCCGTAGAATGGCCAGACTTAGTGTAGGACAGAGAAAAAGCGTAGTCAGTAACAAGCAGAGAACAGGGTAACAGAGAGACAGCGAAACGATAACTAGCTGGAGTCAGGTGCATGGTAATCAGTCAGACAGGCATACAACACATGAAAGGGTTAAAGATAAGCTCAAAAAGTGGGTGCATGGGGGCGCCGGAATGACGTGAGCCAATGGGAGCCTTCAACTATCTGGGGTTCCCATTTACCTTTAAGAGTTTGCGGCTCGAGTGGAGAACCCCGGTTTGCTTGTGGAGTGGGTAAATACCACTACAGTCTCTAGGAGAGTCCATGTGAAAGCATTAGTTTCATCCATGGGATCAGAGTAAGGTTGACTGGTGTTAAAGCAAAAGCAAACACTTCCATCCAAAAATGAAAAACTCTGTTGGTGGACATTCGCACACTTCGGAAGGCGATAGAACAGGAGTTCTGTAATTTTTATAGCTCCCTATATAACACCCCTACTAACAATGATACCCACTACTCTAGTGACAGTACTCTTAGTAAATACTTAGATACTCATATCCCAAAAACCCTTACAGATGTTGAGAAATTGTGTCTGGAACACCCACTTTCCCCTGAGTTAATATCAGCCATTAAGTCCACTCCATTAAACAAGAGCCAGGGTCTAGATCAGGCTTCCCCAAACTCTGGCTCTCCAGATGTTGCTGAACTACAACTCCCTTGATTCTATGAATGAAATAGATAGGCTGAGAATCATGGGAGTTGTAGTTCAGCAACATCTGGAGGGCCGGTGTTTGGTGAAGCCTGGTCTAGATCTAAGTATGAGATATTATAAAAAAAATTCTCCTCAACTCTCCCAATACTTCTTAGGGCTTTTAATTTGATTGCTAAGGGAGTCGGGACCCTCACAGACACTGGAGGTTTATACATTGTATATAGCCAAGCTAGGCAAGGATCCAGACATATGCTGTCACAAAAGACCTATCTCGCTCCTAAATAATGACCTAAAGCTGTTTGCATAGTGCAAAGGTTGAGCCCCATAATGGCAGGGCTGGTCCATTCTGATCAAGTAGGGTTTGTACCCGGACGAGTAGCTACTGGAAATACAACTAGACTAGGTCGTCTGTTACATATGCCAAGCATTTCACTTTACCTGCCATGTTTTTTCAACTGATGCTGAAAAGGCATTTTATCAGGTGGACTTGTTCTACCTACGCATCACCTTGACATATATGGGATTCAGACCCAATTGAATTGCATTTCATTTTTGTCCAACTTTCTGTATCCAGCTAAATAGGTAATTAAGCCCCATACAAATTAATAATGGCACTGGCACAAGGCAGGGTGTCCTACATCACTTGCTATTGTTTGCTTTAGCGCTGGTGCCTCTATTCTGTGCCTTATGTTCAAATTCATCCATACAGGGGTTTCAAGTTGGTAACAAGATTGCACATGCGGGAAATTTACTTTTCTTTGACTGACCTGCTATCCTTCCTCCCTGAATTACTGAAGGAAATGGAACTCTCCTGACCATGTAATTGGGGAAATAGATGTGTTCTGAAATAAATGGACGTGTCTCTGAGACAATAGCAGAATATCTATGCATCTGTATAATTGCTTGGCAACCCAATCAGTGCTATAATCTCTAGTGCAGGGGTCTTGAAACTGCCAGCAATTCATTAGATGTCGAGAGAGTAGTAAGGAGAGTAATCTGCGATGAAGCTTAACATCTCTATGTAAGGACATTTATCAAGGCATGGGTCTAAAGTGAGATTAAATTCCCCTCCCCAAATATCAATAAGACTTCAGTAAAGTCCTCAGAAATATTGAATATTATTTTAAAGTGGAACATTGTTTAAGGTTGGCCATAGTGCTACATCTGTTAGACATATGCTGTGTGCATGAGATAACTAGGTCCTTTCAGTAAATCGAGAAAACAAAAGTAAGAATCAGTAACAAGGCAAGTAAATTATCATTCAGGGAAACTACCGGTATATACATCAAAAAGCACTTGCAACATATGTAGCATATTATGGCAGGTGCAGTTAATTACGTGCATAACAGTAGAAAACAAATCCTGTAATTGGTCTGAGATGTTAAAGGACCACTATAGTGCCAGGAAAACATACTTGTTTGGAAGGGGGAAAGGGGTAAAAACTTACCTTTTTCCAGCGCTGGGCGGGGAGCTCTCCTCCTCCGATCCTCCTCTTCTCCCATGCGGCTGAATGCGCACGCGCGGCAAGAGCTGCGCGCGCATTCAGCCGGTCACATAGGAAAGCATTCATTCTGCCCAGTGCAGAGACCCCACTAAAGCAATAGTCAGGCCATATTCAAAGACAACCCCAATACATAACATCTAAATATGAATGCATGGCATGACCTTATATAGAGTCAGTGGCCACATCAATCAGAAAAAAGGCCATAAGTCCACCAGTACAGGCTGGCATGCGGTGCTCAAAAAACAATAAAGTGAGAAAGAAAAATGATATACTTTGTCTTTCGTTGGGTCAATTGGATTGTCTTTTAATGTCCAGGCAAGATCTAATAACCGTAATGCCAGTTGGTCGTCCACAAGCATCCAACAGGGATTTCCTGGTAAGTCTAAAGTAGTGGAACATCCAAATGATATCTTGGGTCTGGTCCGAGATGCAGACTTAGGCTGCAACACCTGCAACCACAGTGTCTTTAGGGCGGTCCAGTGTAAGATGAAAAATTATAGTTAATCTTTTGTTAATGTTTTTGGGCCCGTCGGACTCAGGGACTTCCCTAATCCTAAAATTATTTCTCCTTCCCCTATTATCCAAATCCTCCACATTTGAAATTTAAAGTCAAAATAGCCAAACTGAAAAAGTAAGCTATGTCCATTCAGCTACTCTGGCCTTACATTTGAAATTCACTTACATGCACTTTGAATTCACTCTGAATTCTCACTTTAGTGAATAACCCTGTATGTCTCCATGCAATAAGGTATCCAACTTGTTGAACATGGAGTTTATGTCAGCTTTCATGTGGAGAGACTGTAATAATGCCCACAGGTCACCCCGGCTCTCTAGCCCCTGTATCTTGTCTGAGCAGTTAAACTGTGTGTCCTTTTGCTACTTTCCTGTGCGGCCGCCATCTTAGATTGTGGCGCAAATCACTGAGACTGCTGTCAGATATCTCTTCATTGAATTGAGAAAAATGCAGGTAATTTTTATTAGGATCCTGAGTCTGCCAAAGGCCTTATTAGAGCATTTCCTAGGCATCACTGCCATCAATACCACCGTTAAATCCTCATTTATCACACCTTAGACGGAAGCTTCTGCCTTACATGTCCATTTCACAGCATTTTTGGCCATGCCCCCTGATATATTTTGATATATTATATTTCTTGATTTATTTTTTTTTAGTTATAAAGAAAAATTATTTGTGTCGTCTGAACAATTATAGCAGTAAGGCAAAGAAGTAACGTAAGAGACACGCAGGTCTCGCGCAAAAACAAACAACAGTGTTATAGAGCATAAGATAATTAAGTGACATTGCTATTAAAGCTAGTACAAAGCTGTTGTTAGGACAAGCATAGATTGTAACCAGGTAGCCTTACTGGTTTGGATATATATTTCAGATCTGATCGAGCAGATCAGTAATGTTGTGATGTGTGCAAGGTATTGCATCGTACAAAGTGGACACACAGGTCCCAGCAATAGTATCGAAATGCAACAACGTTTTAGTCATGAGGCAAACAAGGCATTTGCCTTGGGCAGCATTTTCCAGGGGGCGGCAAAAAAAGTCGCCCCCAAATTCCCAGGGCAAACGTCTTGTTAGCCTTGCGGCTAACTGACATGCCGGTCGGGCGGGCGGCACTGGCGAGGGAGCACTTCCTATGAGCTGTCTGCTCAGCTCCCTTGCACGCCGCAGAGTGAGGCTGGGAGACGGAATATGACGTCATATTCCAGTTCCCGGCATCACTCTGCGGCGTGCGAGGGAGTTGAGCAGACAGCTCAGGGGAAGTGCTCCCTTGCCAGCGCCACCCGCCCAGCACCCACTGCACCCCCAGGGAGAGAAGGAACCCCCCCCAGCATTCCCAAAGGTAAGGAGGCTGGGGGGGGGGTTAAATAAAAAATAAAAAAATGTGTTAATGTGAGTGTGTATATGTCTGTTAGTGTGTGTGTGTCTGTTAGTGTGTGTCTGTTAGTATGTGTGTGTGTCTGACTGTGTGTGTGTGTGTCTGTTAGTGTGAGTGTGCTTGCCTGTGAGTGTGTTTGTGTGTCTGTTTGTATGTGTGTGCGTGTTTCTGTTGGCTAGTGTATGCGTATCTGTCAGTGAATGTGTGTGTGTATTTAGAAGATGGGGCAGGGGTAAGGGTTGGGTGGGAGTGGCGGGGGGGAGGGGGCGTCTGAGTTTTGTCGTGCCTAGGGCAGCACAAAACCAGGATACATCACTGTCGAAATGTACAGGTTATGTAGTATTATATAGAACAGCACCTCTGTTCATATTGCAGTATGTGAGTATGCCATGAATTATGAGTAAAGCTAAGACTGGGCTATTTCTTGATATTTTAATATTTTGAAAATAATCAGTTTGTTGCCAAATCCTGTAGATTCCATCTTAAAAACATAGCCGGAATCCGCCCCTTTCTTACAAAAGATGCTACAAAGGAACTTGTCCATGCTCTAGTAATTTCCCACATGGATTATTGTAACCCTCTCCTGACTGGTCTTCCCAAAAGCCTTATCGCTCTGTAATGAATGCCGCCAGGCTGATTTTCCTCTCTAGTCCGTCCTCTCACACCTCACCCCTCTGTCAGTCCTTACATTGGCTTCCTGTATCCTATAGAAGTCAATTCAAAGTGCTAACCCATAAAGCACTGAACAATTCTAGCCCCTCTTATATCTCCTCACAGATCCATAGGTATGCCTTTCCACGTTCCCTCCGCTCTGCCCATGACCACCTCCTGACTGCTGCTTGCACCCGTATGGCCAACTGGCACTTGCAGGACTTCTGGCGGGTGGCTCCCTTCCTATAGAATAGCCTGTCTACCCCCATCAGACTATCCCCTAGTCTTCAATCCTTTAAAAAGTGCCTTAAAACCCATCTCTTTTGGAAAGCTTATGGCCTCCCAGAGTAACCTCTACCTTACACACCTGTCTCTTGCTCTCTCCTATAGTGCAGCACTTTACTCTCTCCTCCAGCCCTGCTTCATCTTATTTGATTGATATTCCTGTCCTAATGTGTTTTATACCCCACCTCCTATAGACTGTAAGCTCGTTTCAGCAGGCTCCTCTTCAACCTATTGTTCCTGTAAGTTTTTTTTGTAATTGTCCTATGTACAGTTACATCCCCCCTCTCATAATATTGTAAAGCACTACGGAATCTGTTGGTGCTATATAAATGGCAATAATAATAAGAATAAAGATGAGAGGCAGCAGCATGGTCACGATCATCCGATCCCCTTCGAGCAGCAGATACAGTATGTCTGAGCTTCGGACAGCAAGGACAGCAGAGATACCAGAGACCAAACGGACGACAGGTGTCGGATAGTAGGTGTAAGCTGGCACACATGCACACTTCTTGAGGGTCTCGACCGCACAGAAGAATGGTCAGCTGCTGAGGTACTCCAACAGTACGATTTGACCTCCTAAAGGCGAAGGAAGTATGGTAGACGGGCTCTCCTTGACGGTCTGCAGGGCCTGCCTTGACATTGCCCACACATTGTAGGGCCATCAACAATTCCCTTCCTTTGGTCACCGCCACTTGTGGAATGTATGACACTCGCAGGCGAGGTGTCATATGTTCCACAGACGAGGAAGGATGCATCCACTTGTAAAGCTTGGCTGAAAAGGCTGAAAATATTTGGTCTAGGCTGCTCAGGTTGCATGTTGCCAGATTATGGGAGGTCGAGGGTTTTTCACGATGTTGGACGGCGTCCGCCATTTTGTGCAGGTGTCCAGGGTGTTTAATCTGCCAGACATGCAGGTCACTATATCTAAAGTGAGTACACTGCTTGTACCGGGATATCCATCACAGGCAGGTGTGGGGGGAGGATAACAGGTGATAAAAACACAGATTGAAAAAACAAAAACAAAATATGAAAATATTTTTCAAGCTATTATATTATTTCAAAAGCATATCCAAAAATATTACATTGAGGCCCTAATATTTTAAATAAGATTTTTAAATGGTCACAATTTGTTAGACATACTTTTCAAGACAACATAAATCTATGTGAATTTTGTAGATAAATCAATTGAAACATTTGTTTTTTTAAAAGATTGTGGAACTGAAAAGACTGCCAAAAGAATTAAATTGAGGCCTGTTTTATGTACTTTCTCTCTATAATCCGTGCATGTTTGTTTAATTTTCTCTTAGGTTTACTGGTTGTCACACCCACATATTGTAGATTATATGGATATTATTACAGAAAGTTATGCAAGTGTTTATAGAGTGTCTTTCTTTGATTATATATGATATGAAGTCAGTTTATTTGTAGCATATTTAGATACCACCCATGTTCTTTCAACATTTGTTACATTTATAAAAAACCTATATTGTAATTTTAAGAAAAAAAAGTTTATTATGCTTAATCTATTTTTATTTATCTGTTGTTTAAAATATTAATCAATAAAACAAAATCACCATAGGTCAAGTTCCCAAACAATCATTTAAACTTCTCAGTTTCTAAAAAGGTTTATTACATTTAATGAAACAATTTGTTTTTATTTGTTTTTAAATCTTTATTTTTGCTGTGCAAAAGAACTATTGACAGGCCTGCAATGCCACAATATCAAGCAATTAGAGCTTACAGTATCATGACATGGAGTAAAACCACACAATTTTTGAATAGTAAATATGATCTTGCAAGATATATCAGAAGTTGGGTGAGTATGAATAATATTAAAATCAGACTATGCAAACTGCCATGTTTATTAGTCAAAATAAAATAAAACAATAATAGCAGCATGCTTTAAAGTAATAACAGGCTTATAAGAATAGGAGAAGTCAGCACATGTATTCCCCAGGAGGCTCCAAGCAGGTTGCATGGTAAGAAAGGGAGTATGTGAGTAAATAAGTGAATAAGTGTCAGGCCAGATAACAGACCGTGAGACTTAAACTGTATGTGTTAGAAATCTACAGTGTTAGGGGGATTCCCCATCATAATCAATGGAAAGAGGTTATATTGGATGGCCAAGAGTGCTTCCTAACGGAGTACGGGAGGTCAAGCTAGCCTATCAAGGCCAGGAGCATAGTAGAGTCCCATAACTTAGAGAAGAACAGGCTATAATTAAATCTGGCAGGTCAAGCCACATGATATTACTGGGTATTTCGCCAGGGCCATCATCTGGTTACAGGTCCGCGAGTCGGATCGCTTCGGTTCTCTTGAATGTACATCGGAGCGAGGTGAACTGCCTTTCTTGCTGCCATGTTAGGGCGCAAAGCACCGAAGGAGCACCCCAATCTACGCTGTGGTTTTGGAATCTGCTTTCGTGGTAGGTAAACTTTCACTTAGCTCGAGACAGAAGTCATCAAAAATTTCATCCAGCCTGGATAGGATATCAGGTTTACCCTCTGTGGTGCTGGGGACCCACGCAGCATTTGCTATTTTGAGCCTGTTGCAGGAGGTAGAAGCACAGTGTCACGAACTCCAGAACCAGACACGCTGACAGAACTCAGACACAGGAATTGCAGTACCAGTCCTTAGAGTGGCCGGGCTGTGCACACAGAGAGAAGTCAGAATATAAGGCAAAGTCAGAGGGAACCAGAGAGACAGAATAATCAATACGGCAATATGTTTATAGAAAAAAGGGTTAACCCTAGCTGGACCAGGCACCCAGACCACTTCATTAAGCTAAAGTGGTCTGGGTGCCTATAGTGGTCCTTTAAAACAAGCAAGAATTGATATTACATTAAAGAAAAAGAAGAAACGAAAAAGGGGGAAATTTGTCTATAATAAAAATAAATCTGTCTGTACAAAATATAACAAAGCTACATGAATTTTTACAAATAGGTACTTTATAATACCATCTCTACGGGATGTGTGGTAATCATATACCATGAAGTGCATAACGTTGTGTCTTTCTGCATTAAATGTCAGAGGATGTAGAATAAACAGTCAGACAAGCCAAAATTCGGTAACCAGATAATCAGACAAACAGACAGAGTGCTATTGGGCTATCAGAAGACCACAACAGGGCGACAAGGCAAGGAGGAGGAAAGTTTAAATAGGGTCAGGAAGATACTGAATGGTTAATTTCTAGTTGGAATTAATTATTACACGTGGAAGGTACTGTATTTGAACCTTCCACTTTGATCCCTGACCTCATTATTGTGCACCGAGTCAGGTGACTGACTCGAGTGCATACTTAAACACTCTGCATGCGAGCGTGCAGCGTCCTAGATAACGCCGGCGGGACCCGCGGACATAGGAACAGCCGCGAGCTGCAGGCAGGCATCAGAAGCCACCACTCGTGGTGAGCGGAACAGTGGAGTTGCCAGAAACCTGCTGCTAGAAGTGATGTAGCAAGAGAGAACTTCGAGGGCAGCGTGGGGACATCAGAAGCTGCCGCTCGGGACGAGGAAGTAGGCTCGATTTGTTCACTAAGGAGTAGTATCAGGTTAGTGGATCAGGAATTTCAACTCCCAAAAATCATTGGCAATGAACATGCACCACGCACTGCAGGGTAGTGAGAATTGTCTGGTGCGATGACAGCTATATTGTTGCCTAGTTTGTTGTCTACAACAATTCCCAAATCCTTCTTGTGTTGTTATCCCTAATCCAATACTGTTTAGGGTGTAAGTCGCTTGTGCATTCTTTTCAAATAGTTTTTATTGCTAAATTTTTATAAAATAAAGCAATATAATTTTAAAGGACCACTATAGTGCCAGGAAAACATACTCGTTTTCCTGGCACTACAGTGCCCTGAGGGTGCCCCCACCCTCAGGGTCCCCCTCCCGCCAAGATGGATGGAGAGGAAGTGGTTAAACTTACCTCTTTCTCCAGCGCCGGGCGGGGAACTCTCCTCCTCCTCTCCTCCTCTTCGGCTGTATGCGCAGGCGCGGCAGGAGCCGAGCGCGCATTCAGCCAGTCCATAGGAAAGCATTCCCAATGCTTTCCTATGGACGCTGACGTCTTCTCACTGTGAAAATCACAGTGAGAAGCGCGGAAGCCCTCTAGCGGCTGTCAATGAGACAGCCACTAGAGGCTGGATTAACCCTATAAACATAGCAGTTTCTCTGAAACTGCTATGTTTATAGAAAAAAGGGTTAACCCTAGCTGGACCAGGCACCCAGACCACTTCATTAAGCTAAAGTGGTCTGGGTGCCTATAGTGGTCCTTTAAAACAAGCAAGAATTGATATTACATTAAAGAAAAAGAAGAAACGAAAAAGGGGGAAATTTGTCTATAATAAAAATAAATCTGTCTGTACAAAATATAACAAAGCTACATGAATTTTTACAAATAGGTACTTTATAATACCATCTCTACGGGATGTGTGGTAATCATATACCATGAAGTGCATAACGTTGTGTCTTTCTGCATTAAATGTCATCTGCCATTTGAGTGCCCAATCCCTCAATCTAGCTAAATCCCTCAGCAGCGAGGTAATATCCTGCTCATATTGTATTACTTTACAGAGTTGTGTGTCACCTGCAAACACTGAAAACATGAATTTCAATGCCTATTTCAAGATCATTTATAAATATGTTAAATTGAAGCGGTCCTAGAACAGAATCCTGAGGGACACCACATACCACTTTTGCCCAGCTTGAAAATTTACCATTAGTAATGTTGAAGAAAATAAGGCACGTGAAACAACTGGTCCAAATCAAAAAGATTATTATTGAAAAATCAAGCAGGATTACAAAACAAAG